GATCAGACAAGAAGGATTAGATAGAGTCGTCAATGAGCTCAGCATTGGAGCACCTGCTTAGCATGTAAGAGGGTCCAGGTTTAATCCTCAGAAGAAGCAAAATGAATAAAAATATGAAATTATAATCTGACTTCACCTATATAATGTTTTATATTAATCAGTGATGAATAAACGTCAAAAACAGAAACATTTGGCCTAGTTTATATCAGTGAATCATATGAAGTATGTAAGAATACCTTTAGATGTATGGAAGAAAGTATGTAAGAAAATGATACCTGATTTAAATAATTTCTTTCTAAAAATAAAATCATATCATACTTCTTAATTGATTCTCTGAGGCCATCTTACCTTACTTCCAAATCCTTATTGAGACATTAGAAAAAATAAAATCTGCAAACAAATATCTCTTATCTCTGAAAAAAATCTATTAACATATGAAATCCAACAATATATAATAGAATTTTTGACCATGGCCAACTGAGCTTTACCTAGACGGTGCAAGCCTGCTTAACAGATGAAAACCAGTGAACATACATATATCAGTACACTAACAAGAAAATCACATGATTATATCTCTCGGATACTAAGGCATTTTCACCAAATCCAAAAGCTCAATTGTGATTTAAAAAAAAATCTCAGCATATAGGAAAAAGTGTGAACATCCTTCAATTTGGTAAAAAAGCATATGCAAACAACATACAGACAACATTTTATTTAGTATTGAGAAACAGAAACAGAGCAAGAATCCCACTTTTCATCACTCTTATACAATACTCAACTTGAAGTCTTAGCTAATAAACAAGATAAAAATGAAAATAAAATGTGTGTGTAGAATGTAATAACTAACAAGACAATTAACTTTACTCACTGATAATATGACTTAGTATGTAGAAAATTTTGAAGAGTGAACAAATTTGCCACGAGCTAGCATGAATTTAAAAAAATTCCCATTATAAAGTTAAAATAAAAAATGCTCTTTGTATATCAACAAAGAATAAGTGAGTGATATTTCAAATTAAAACACATACTATTACATGAATACCCCCCCAAAAAAACAGTTAAATGCAAACATAACAAAATATGTACAAGACTTAGATGAAGACTATAAAATTCTAATGGACAGATTAAAGAGTATGTAAATTAATGAAGCCATACTCTTTAATTTATGCTGTTAAAATTCTAATTGCCCTGTGAATCCCTGGATGAATAGAAACAACATAATGTACATGCAACTATATTATAAAAAATTCATTACATTGACCCATGTAGTATAAGGCATCTGGATAATGCTCAACTATGTGCTGCAAAGGCTGAGAACTAGGTTCCCAATTCAGGAAGGATGCCTTTGCAGTTCCAATCTAATCCTGAAAGCCTTGGGAATTTGCTGGAATTGGGTTCATGTTGAATGTCTGAAGAGCTGGACTCTAATGTCAGCAGGTGGCAAAAGCAATAGAAGCAATCACTGGGAACAGTAAGACTTGACACCCTGTTTGTTGTATTCATCCCACTTCTTCATTAGAACAGTTTACCCCATTGATAATCTCACCCTTCTTCATTGGAGCAGTTTACCCTGTAGATAATCCTACCCTTATTCAGGGCAGGTGCTTTCTCACTATTGACTGTCTGACATGTCAAACCTATATGAAAAAGTCTTCATAGCCATACAGGTGCATTGTATAAGTTCTAGGCATCTTCTACCTAGTCACGTAGTCATTTCAGATCTATTATTACATAACTCTTTACAGGTTTGTCATTGTAGATTCACTATAATCTAACAAAACTCCCACCAAGTTATTTTCTAAATAACAAACCAAACAGTTTATATGAAAGAAGAAAAGGTACAGAACAATCATTATGCAGCATTAAAGCAGGAAAATAGAACACTGACAGCTCAAGGCTTAAAAAAGATACATCAATCAATGAAATATGGCATTGATAGAGGCTTTTAAAAATCAAGGGAAAAAATGGAATCCAAATGAATGTCATGTAAATAGAATTGAGGAGCAAAGACATTGTCATAGAGGAAAAGATAGATTTTTTTCAGTATGTGTCTCTAGAAATATCCATATTCACATCCATATATATTTTAAAAAGCTTGATGTATATCTAATCCTTTAAAAAATAAACTCAAAGAAAAATATGAGACGGGAAAAACACAGATTAAATCTATGTATCTACTGCTGAATGTAAAACATTTATACTGCTTAGGCACTCTTAATGTCTATAAACCCAGGAAAGTGGTATTTTAAAGTCTATTTCATAAATCACTGAAATGGTTTAAATACAACTTAGATGATATTTGATCCCCTGAATCAAATATTTTAAAGAGATTATAAATATCTAAAATATTTTAGGCATAGTTCATTTAGAATGACACTAGGTATTTCATAATATAATTTTCATTAAGCTATCAAATTAAACACTGACTACATTAATGTTAATACTCCTAAACATGTTCATAAGAAGTAATAAATTAAATTTTATCATTTAAAACAATCAAGCATAATAAAATTAAAAAACAAGAAATGTTTTATGTTAATCAAATATTTTGACATACATATATATATTCTGATTAAATTAATTGACATAGTTGTGTTTTAAAAATAATCCCTATACACAAATGATTAATGTAAGATTTTCATTAAGGCTGTAATACACACAAAATGATAAATATGCCTACATAAATATTTGTCAAACACATTAATGTTACTTTTCTTTTAATAATTGAAATTGCAGAAGATACAACCCCACAAATTGTAACATTCATAATGTAAGTAAGCTTACTTCATCCATGTCTTTTAAAAGTTTATTCATTTAGTTTCAAAAGTTTATTCATAGTTAAGACAATATAATACATCTTTTTTAAATTTATTTTACAATACTATTCAGTTCTACATAATAGCCACAGATTCCCTTGTTCTCTCCCTTCCTGCCCCCTCCCCTTCCCCCCAGC